GTCCCTCAAACACCCCCCCCCCCCCCCCCCCCCAATGAAAACAGAAACGCGCAATCAAGCTACTCCTGTTGCTACGTAAGAAAGAGAAAGGCACAACTTTGGAGATACTTCTTTTTCCTTAGCCTAGCTCCCTTCTGGCAGTAAACACAAGCCCCAAATTGTCCCTGGTGTCGCTCACCAATTGCAATGGTTCCACAACACAGACAGCTGTCATGTTTTGTAGGGTCTACTGAATTAAGGTCTATGGCTCCAACAACAAAATAATCACTAGATGTAGCCCCCTTATTTCCCTCCCTTCTCTATGTGAACACCTACACATACATGCAGCCATCCTGGCACTGACTTCACATCAGACTGCACCAATTTAAATTCGATTGCAATGTAGCTCTCAAACCCTTCCAGAATCCCTCCTTTTCCTTTTCAATAGCTAGGAAGCAGAAGGTACCAAGCAGGGGGTAAAAGGATGGCAAAAGAACCAAACAAAATTCAGACGCAACGGGGAGTTGTCAGAAACCAGACAACTTCACAATGGAAATGGAAAAACTCAAACATGTGCCAGGAACAGACAAGGTCACTGGGAAAAAAGGGAGTTACAGAGGAGCCTGGAGCTGACACCCGTTTCCTGGTTAGAAGCAGAGGGGAATTTAGGAAAGCCTTGAACTGAAGGTGCTCAGATCAATACCATGTGGTTAAAACATGCTATATCATTGCTCTTGCTGTCTGATGCTTGGCTGGTGTCAGAGACAATATTTTGATTCAACAGGGCACTCCTGGGACCTACATCAGCACCAGAAAACACACAGAAGAAAGGAAGAGTATGAGTACAATGGGAACTGCACGAACGACCAAACTGGAAGTAATGCTGTATCTGGAAAACCATCCTGAGAGGGGGCAACTTGGCAATTGCTAATGAAATATAAATTCCCACTGCCCTGTTCCTGTTCCTTCCACTGTGTGTATGTATGCAGTGAAGGATCCTGCAGATACCCAGAAGAAAGAAAGCACCTTTCAGAAGATGGAGCTGGGAATATTTGAAACAGCAGATTCAGAAATAATAAATCCTACTTTAGACATCTGCCTTGTACTCTTCATCTTTACCGCACATTAGAGTCTCCTGAAAGGCACTGCACAAATGTATTTGAAAATTAAACAGATCATCCTCCAGGAATGTGTGTGAGAGATCAACCCGAGAGACAGCATGCCTTTTTGCTTATTTAGAAGACATTTGCAACCAAGCATCGTGCTGGACTCATCCTGCAAGAATGAAATGGCAGTTTCTTGCTCTCTCTGGTCCATATTGCCATGTGCACATGCATGTCTCCCCAGCCCACCTCTGACGGGAGCAACTGGTACCTCACAGTCCTCACCTGCATGTCCATGTACACCAGCCATCCCCTGCTCTCTCCTCAGTGCAAGGACTGCCCACCACACATATGGCCTCCGCATTACAAGCTCCCATCAGCCCTGCTTCTCACTGCCCCAGGGCTCGCAGAACTGCTTGGAGATGATTGTGCACAGATGCACACCATTTGCCTTGCTTCCATCTACTGCCCAGTGGCTCTCCCCTCCCAGCTGAATTTTCACACCCTGAGACTATTTCCTTGTTTCCTTTTTTTTAACTAGAAAGCAGGGCATTTTGTGAGCATTGCAAAGGCCCCCATGACAGCAGCTCCCAAAGCTTTTCACTTGGCAGCTCCTCGCTCACCACCACTGCCCTGGAGCACACTGTCAATCTGAAATCCCTGTCCACAGTTTGAAAATCTGACAAGAAACAAGAGCAAGAGCTTTCGGAGCTGACAGGGAGAATACTTGAGCTGCTCTTTCAAGGTGTCAGTGCCTGTCAGAACTTTTACAATTAAATATAATGCTAATCCCCTTCCTGACACCACAGCCCTGCTCTCCCTTGCACTGGTCTAGGAAACCAAGCTTCTTTCCATTAGCTCCCAGCCTGAGCAGCTCCCTTAGCACTTTTGCAGGAGCTGAAAATAGATTGAACCAAGGGAGAAAAGCCAACAAATGCATTCCAAGCAACTCAAGCCAAGAAAAATCCGCAACTATGCACCCCTCTGCACAACCAAGGGTTTGTGTGCATCCTGAGACACACCTGGGTGCCAACTGATGGTATCCTACAGGATCACAGAGGGATATTCAGGTGCCAGCCCTCATCATTTCAACACTGGCCAGCCCTTGAAGCAGCCTACCAAGCTGCAGAAGAAGGTGACCTTGGGATGAATTACCAGATAGGTTACGACACCTGGGCAACCCCTCAACCAGTGCCTTGAGTCATGTGGAGCTGAAATATGTTCCTCAATAAACTGACGAGCAGCCAGACTAGGGGTGGCAAAGGACAATCAGTCACTGCAATGGTCAAGGTATGAAGTTCTCTGCATCCCAAGGGAAAGGGACACACTTTGGCCCAGTACTAGGGCTCAGACACCAGTACAAGGGCTCAGTCACCATGCAGAGACTGAGGGACCATTGTGAGCCCATCTGGCAAGTGGCAGGCCCAGATATTGTTTGCAACCTCTTCTGGTTGCTCTCCTAAGGCTCCTGGCATCTCAGCATAATCTTGGTTGAGTCTCAGCCACCCACACTCACTCAATTTCCAAGGTCAATGGATTTGCACAGATGGGACCTCACAGCTAAGCGCATCCTCAACCCGTCCCCTCACCTGCCGCCCTGGCTTCCCAAAAGAAATAAGGGATGGTGGAGAGAAGATGTCACTGGTGAAAATGGGTGCAGTTATCCACTGTGTTGCCAGCATCAGAGAAGAGATAGTTAGGGGCTGATCTGTGAGATGAGGAGGAGTGCCATCTCCTGCAGAGCCCTTGGTACCCTGCCGGCTCTACCCATCTGCCAGACACTTCTGCTGGACCCTGGCACCTGCGCCACATGAAATCTACTGCCTATAGCCACTGTTCCTTCTCCTAGTCTTCTGGAGGTCTCAATTTCCACACTTAACTCCCTCTCTGATGTCCCCTTGGTGTGACTCTGGGCTGCTGTGTCTCTCCTGCTCCCACTCCGTCACCTCTGGCATCAGGTGTAGCTGCCTAGAAGATCAAGGATTGGGAAGACCATATCACGTCAGGCATGACCCAATCATGTGGCTCCTAGCAGATGGGAGAGGCTACAGCAGAGTACTGCAAACACAGAAGAGGCCAGATGGCTGCATGGGAACACAAGGAGGGGAGCAGGGAGGCAGGAGAGCAAGTCTCTGCGGTTTAATAGCTTTACTCCCCCCACAGCATTTTGACAACTTCCAGATGCTCAGACACAGGCACAGACAGAGCTCGCGTGCTGGTGGCAGGGGTAAATGGGAGCAGGACCAGATGAAACAGGTAGCACTTGTTATGCCATATGATACTTTGATTTATGACAGATTTATTACTATTACTGAGGGCTGAAGTAACCGCGTTATCAATAACAGACTTGAGGCTGTCAGCCTGCTTCCCTTACAGCAAAAAGTCACAGGCTGTGACTCACTGTTGACTTATTCTTACATGTAGCTTGAATTACAGCAGTAG